CCTTTGAAATAGGTCTTTTGGAGCATTCTGGAGCATATGGGACATAAGGAGCATGGAGGGACTTGGCACATGGAAGCAGCTCAACTGGATACGCAAAGGAAGAAGGGAGAAGCCATCTTGAAGACCAGCTCGACCGTCCTACTCGACCAACCGGTCGAGTTCCTCAACTCGACCGGCCAAGCTTCAACTCGATCGAGCTGAGAAGTCAACAGTCAAACCCGAAAAATGTTGCTTCCCCCTTGACTTTCCTTTGACCCTAAACCTAACCTCTTGTATTTAAAGGCTCTAAGCCACGAAAAAACCACCAAGCTTTAGATTATTTTGTTTTAGTTTCTTTTAATTTATTGTCTTTTACTTTTTAGAGATCTAATCCCATCTTTGTGTTCTTGAAGCTCTTGCTTCTTGAATCCTAGATCCTGGATAATCTCTCTTGTATTTGCACTTGCTTATTTCAATAAAAGTTGTTTAATTTCATCTCCTCTTTCTTATGATGTCTCTTTTATTGCATTTGCTTGTGTTTACATTCATGTGTAGTGAGTAGTTACCCATTAGGGTTTGAGATGGGATAGATTAGAGGTTTCATATGCTTAATCCTTCTAGCTTATGGTCTTAATCTAGATTCTCTCTCTTTTGGATAGATCTTAAGGCTACATGACCACTACCCCTGGCTTGTAAGTCCTTAGGCGACTCCCCACACGAAAGTGATGGCATTCGCTGGAAAAGATCCACTAAGAGCTCCAATATCTCTTGCTCTAGACATAGAGGTCTAAGGGGTTGGATGGATTAGTTTGGGCAATGATCCTATAGCCTCCAAGGTTTGATTCTCACTGGCTAACCCCCTGTTTCTGAGATCATTCCTTGGTTGATAGCCTTCACCTTGGGAAAGGGTTGGCTAGGCATTGAGAAGCCCAATATCAAGAGAAGCCTTGATACAAGGAGTTTTAAGAGCTAGATTGATTAAGTGTAGATTCCTTTGATTGCAAAACCCTGTCTTGAACCCTAATTCTCTCTTTATCTTGTTAAAGTCGTCACCTTTAGCTTTGTTTGTCTCAACTCGTCCCTAAACTCGATCGAGCTGGTACTTTGCTCTGACTCGACTCGAGTCTTGGTCGAGCTGACACTTCACTGCTTTGTTTACTTTTATTGCACTGCTTTTCATTTTATTTAGGTTGTTAGTGTTACTTCAAATCTTAACTGCTTGCTTGACTTTCTGGTTGTTTCATATTCTCAAGAGTGACAAGTTTCCCATTTTGGATTGATAACCTCTTGTACTACATGACTATGATGGTTAAGAGGAATTGATTGATTGTGATTGCACACCATTTCATCTTTATTCACCCCTGTTTGCATTCCACCTCATATCTTATCACCTTCATTCATATTTATCACATCCACTAAAATCCTATCATCAATTTGGCGCCGTTGCCGATTTGGGAATATTTTTGTTGCATTTGAGTTTCAAACACACTTGGACGATCAAGCTATACCACCCCTGTTCTATTGTACTGCTGGGTTTTTGTCTCTTTTTGCAGGTGTATGCGAACTCGATCGAGTCGGTCTACAGAGGACTTGGTCGAGCTAGACTTACAACGGGTAGAAAGAGGGTTCAGAGGTCACAGAGGGTACAAGAGGAACCTGAGGTGCTTGTTGCTGATACAATGGATGTACCAGAGGGGAATGTGATAATATGATTTTACGTGGATGAAGTGAATGAAGGATGATATGAAATGAGGTGGAATGCAAACAGGGGTGAATAGAGATGAGATGGTATGGTGCAATCACAATCAATCAATTCCTCTTAACCATCATAGTCATTGAAGTATAAGAGGTTATCAATCCATAAGGGTGAGATGTTGCTCTATGAGAATATGCAAACACAAGAAAGTCAAGCCAAATGATTAAAAGGAGGGATGTAACAACTAAACAACCTAATATAACGGAAATGCAATGCAGAAGTAAAAGAAAGCAGCTAAATGCAAGAAATTAACAAGAAAAGCAGATAAGGCTCGATCAGATGAGCTCGACCAAGAGCTCGATCGAGTTGATGAGCTCGATCGAGTTTGAGGGTCGAGTTGGTGTAAAAACAGAGGAAAGCAATGAAAAGCGATAAAGGTGCAAACTTTAAGATGCTAATGCGAAGATTAGGGTTAAAGACAGGGTTTTGCAGCTAAAGGGAGGCTATACTTAATCAGTCTTGCTCTTAAACAACTTGTATCAAGGTATCTCTTGATATTGAGCTTCTCAATGCCTAGCTAACCCTTTCCCAAGGTGAAAGCTATCAACCAAGACTTGATCTCAGAAACAGGGGGTTAGCCAGTGAGAATCAAGCCTTGGAGGCCATAGGATCATTGCTCAAACTAATCCATCCAACCCCTTAGACCTCTATTTTCTAGAGCAAGAGATATTGGAGCTCTTAGTGGACCTTTCCAACGATTTCCATCACTTCCATGTGGAGAATCGTCTATGGACATACAAGCCAGGGATAGTGGTCATGTAGCCTTAAGGTTTGTCCAAAAGAGAGAGATTTCTAGATTAAGAACATAAGCAAGAAGGATTAAGCATAAACAACCTCTAACCTATCCCATCTTAAGCCCTAAAGGGAACTACTCACTAATCATGGTGAAATAAACAACCAAATGCAATGAATGAACATCAAAAGATAGAGGAGATGATATAGAACAACTTTTATTGAAATAGAGAAGTGCAGAAATACAATAATAAAGCCTAGATCTAAGGTTCAATGAGCAAGAGCTCAAGAACACAAAGAGAGGCTAAAAAGTAAAAAGGGAAATGCAAATACAAGATTAAATAAAAGTTGAGCAAAAGCTATGTTTAATTCGTGGCTCAATGCCATTTATAGTAAAGCAAACTAGGTTTAGGGTCAAAGGGGAGTCAAAGGGAAGCAACATTTTTCGGGTTTGACTTTGACTCCTGGAAAGCAGCTCGATCGAGTTGGAAACTGGCCGGTCGAGCTGGTGGGTCGAGTCCAACCAATATCGTCGTATCTTCTGAACCGCTGGTCCGAATGACATGAAACCACCTCCAGACGAAAGCTAACTCAATTATCCACAACTTCCAAGAAGAAGTCAGACTGAATCGTAGTGGAAACCCTTCATTTGATACGATACTTCGGACGCATCTCACTAGCTCGACCGAGTGCGGGTCCGTACATGGGGCAGACAGAGTCTTTCCTTCCTCAACTAGTCTCCAGTGATAGGCAATGTTCCAATTAGCTCCAAATGACCTGATTAAGACATCAAACGTGCACATGTATGCAAATGCAAGCCTAAAACTACTATGTATGCAAAAGAAGGGAAAACATCAAGAAATGATGCTTTGGGTGAATGAAACTATGCAAAAGATGCATAAAAGAAGGGCTAAAACCATGTAAAATGCAAGTACATCAACACCCCCAAACTTGACCTTTGCTTGCCCTCAAGCAAACAAATATAACAAGAAAGGGATGAGGTTTGAAAACAAATTGATTCAACCTTTAAAAACATGTCCTCAAAAGCGATTTGCTAAATGTCCAACTTAGAGATTCTAGAATGCAACAAGGTGAGAGATATTCATTAAGATTTAACCATGCTTATCAACATCAATCCCACTTCACAGTCACTCAAACAATGCATTCAAATCAGCAAATCCCTTTAACATTCATTAAGCAAAAACAGTGAACCAAAAACATGCAAGATCAATCAACTCATTTGGTTTCAAGGGTTTATGGGTTAAGAGACAAAGAGGGTCTCTTTTTGTATGGTGGTTTAGTAACAGGGATCTCTCAAGAAAGTGGCTTTGCTTTGGCAGAAGGCTAAGTGTTAGAACCAAAGATGGTGCAAGGACAGCAACTCGAGCCGCCTAATCCTAACTCGATCGAGTTCAACACTTAGAGCTTTTTAGAACAAAATCCTAACTACCCTTTTTGGCATTTCGCCTTTGAAACTGAGGAGCTTTGCTCACTTTTCTTTTAAGAACATCCTAGGGAGAGGCTTCTTGAGGTAACATCTAGCGGTTTGGGATTTTCTAAACACTTAGGGAACTTTTCTTTCCTTTTTGACACTTGAGGCTTTGCCTTCTTTTCTTTCTACTTAGAACCCTTTTTACTTTCTTTTTTTAACTTCCCAAACCTTTACTAGACCCTTTTTAACACTGCCAACTCCCTGGACTTAACTAAACTCTTTTTCCTTTGGATTTTCCCAACTTTTACCACTTTTCTGGTTTTTACACCCAACTCGATCGAGCTCGAGTTGGCACCCCCAAACTTAGCCTGAAAACAATCCCAAGAGAACTAGACAACTAGAACTACTGCCCCTGCCGGTTTAAACACAACACCTTATGCTAAGCAAAGCCAAGAAAGGTTCTCACAATCGCACAAGAGATAATATGGGGTTTGAAATGAAAAAGGCTTAGGTTTAAGGTGTGGTAACTGTCTCAAAGATGGAGATCAGCTATCTGGACAAGCAAGAGGGATATGAAAATAGGTAAAGAATGTCCAGATATGTATGTGGTAGCCATGAGTTGAAATCAAATGCAAGCATTGGTAATTAAAGATCAAGTTATGGTTCAAATAGATAGGGAAATGCATCAAATCACAGCAATGGTTGAATGAATGCATATGATAAACATGGTTCTTGCTGCTCAATCAATCTCACCCTAATGCACAAAGAATCTAGAAAACAGGGCACTCAAGAAATCGCAAATGATGAACAAGTTTTCAAAGTCAAATCAATACAATGCAAGTGAAAGATGCAATCCTAAACAATCTAACAAATATGAATGCAAAAAGATGAAAATATTTTTGGATTTTTTGAAAATTTTATGATTTTTTTGGTTTTTCTATGCAAATAGATGAATGAAAAACTAAGAACAAAGAAAACAAGGTTAAATCATCTCTTGAACCCTCCCCCAAACTTAAATCACACAGTCCCTTGTGTGAGAAAAAGAAAGATTCAAGAGGGAAAAACAAAGAAAAATGCATGAAAATGAATGGTATGTACAAGGGAAGTGTTTGATACCTTAGTGCTCCCCAAAGAACTGGGAAGCAAGGTCATGAGTTGGAGAGGGCAGGAGACAATAGCATCATAACGGCATCAATCGCCAAAATAGGTTGGTGGGATTGGGCTCGATCGAGTCTGTGGCTCGAGTCAGAATAGCTTCCCTTTTGAACTAACTCCTGCAAGCCTTAGACAGAAACAACTACAAAGAACTTAAATGAAAGCATTATATACAAGATAGACATGGGAATTCCTCCCAAGTGAGCTTGTTTTAGGTCGCATAGCTTGACCTTTTACCTTTTAGGCATGAATGAGAGCGGTCCCGCCATCAAATGTGACAGTAAGGACTGAAGATAGGAGCTCCTTGAGCTTGGTTTGATCTTTTTGCAGCTCAGGACTGACCAAGGCATTGATACTGGAAAACGGTTTAGACTTTCTCTTGCACTTGATCTTGTACTCAATCTTCCCATTTGTGAACTTGGATGGCAACAGAGTCAGGGTAAGCTGGGATGGAGCGCTTGAGAGAGTCTGAGGCGTGATCATCTTTCTTTTATGTCCAGGAGACGCCTTCAAAGCCATACCCTCCCCATCTTTTTGAGCACTTCCTAGCTGCTCACTAAACAAAACTGCAAGACCCATCTCATCCAGAACACAAGGTTCACAAATAACTGGCTCTGTGCTGCTCTCAGTCATAATCTCCATCTTTTCAACCTCAGCAAACTCATCACCCTTGATGCTCAGTGACTTAGTGGCAATGGTTCCACAATATTTAGAGCTTGATGCCTTGAGAGGGTAAGAGACTTTGCTGTTGACATTGTGCAGGATCACTTTCTTTGTATGGAAATCAATGGAGGCACCAACAGTGGTGAGGAAAGGTGTCCCTAAGATCAATGGCACATCCTTCTCGTCAACCATATCCAGAACTGTTAGATCAATTGGGATTGTGCACTCTCCAATTCTCAAAGGGAAATCCATGACAATACCAAGTGGGGCTTTAGAAGAAGCATCCCCAAACATGATAGAAGACTTAGGTCGCTGGATCAGACTCTGTATACCCAATTTCTGTATTAGAACAAGAGAGATCAGATTGATACTTGCTCCAGAATCAACAAGTGCATCCTCAAGTTGTAGGTGACCAAGTGTACAAGGCAGAGTGAAGCTTCCCTGACCATTCAGCTTGGGTAGTGAGGTTGGTGTGGATAAGAGATCACCCTGGGAAGAAGAGGGCTCCAAAAGCTGAGCTACTTCGTCCTTGTTATCAAGTATGTCCTTAATCATCTTCTTTTGGACATGAGCAGCTTGAAAACTTCCCATATTTGGTAGCTCAACCCCAATCTTACTCATGTCATTCCTAAACTTGGTGATGACTTTTTTCTGATTCTTGGTAAGGATTCTACTTGGAAATGGAACAGGGGGCTTGTAGGTGTCATCATCAGATGGTGTTGGAGCATAAAGCATCTGACTCGATCGAGCTGGTGAGACGGTCTGGCTCGATCGAGCTTGTTGTGCGAGCTCAACCGGTGAAGCGTGGATAGCTATCTGAGGAGCTTGCACTTCAGGTTGAGCGTACTGGACTCCAGGAGCATCAGCAACAACATTGTCTTCATTATTAAGCAGCATACAGATCTCCTCAATATCCTTCTCATTAGCAGCTTGTTGATCAAATCCTTCCTCTTGAGTGAAGATCGCTCTACAATGCTCCTTTGGATTCTGAACAGCCTTTCCAGGAAATTGACCTTGCTTAGCAGCAGAAGAAGAAGCATGGTGTTCCAAAGAGTGAACTCTAGTGTTCAAGGATTCAATCTTAGAGTTCATCTCAGCCAACTTCTTGCTTATCTCCATAGCACCATCTGCTTGACCTTGTAAGAGCTGCTTCAACATGGCTTTTATTTCTTGTTCCTGACTTGGTGAAGCCTGAGGCGCTTGAGGTGCATACCCAGTTGGTACACTCTGCTGTTGTCCTTGATAATTTCCCTGATGGCCCTGGAAATTCCCTTTCTGACCATATCCTTGCTGTGGAGGCTGACTCGCTGGAGCCTGTTGCTGCGGAGGGTAGACTTGATCTTGAGGATTGGCAACATCAGTGTTACTGTAGGACATGGTAGGGTGTGACTTGTAGCCATAGTAACCGTTTTGATAACCTCCTTGTCCATTCTTAATGTAGCACACTTCAGCAAACTGATTCTCCTCCTCTTCTTGGCCTTGAACCATCTCTTCTTTAGAAACAAAGTTGGCCTTCTTCATTGTGGATTGAGCTAAGATAAGCGTATCCAACTTCTCATTGAGTGCCTTGACATCGTTTCTCAGCTTACTATCAGACTCGATCGAGTTGGAGGTCGAGCTCCTGTTTGTGCGATCATACTCCTCTCCATAGCTCCCACTTGAGTTAGCAATGTTCTCCACAAGCTGCCAGCCATCATCTACATCTTGATTGAGGAAGTTTCCATTACTGGCTGTGTCCAACATCTCTTTGTATCTTGGCAAAACTCCTCTGTAAAGTGTGGAAAGCAAAGACTCATTGCTGAAGCCATGATGAGGGCATTGACTGGTGTAACCCTTGAATCTCTCCCAAGCTTCAGCAAATGTCTCATTGTTCCTTTGAGTGAAACCAGATATCTCGCTTCTCAGCTTAGCAGTGCGACCAGTAGAGAAGAACTTGGCAAGAAATGCCTTCTTGCAATCCTCCCATGTAGTGATTGATCCATGGGGTAAACTCTTCTCCCATTGATGGGCCTTGTCACCAAGAGACATAGGGAAGAGTCTCAGCTTGATGGCATCTTCAGAGACACCATTCATCTTGGTCAGATCACACAGCCTATCAAACTCATCCAAGTGATCAATGGGATCTTCACAAGACAATCCATGGAACATCTTGTTCTGGACTAAGGTAATCATCCCCAGCTTGATCTCGAAATTGTGGTTCTGGACAGGAGGTGGGACAATCCCTCTTCTTTGCTGGTGGCGGTTTGGTGCATCTCCAAGCCCAATCGGTCGAGTCTGCCTAGCTCGACCATTTCCATTACCCAGAGGGTTTCCATTACCCTCTGGTATATCCATAGTATCTGTAACAAGCACCTCTGACTGAACTTGTTGCCTCTGGCTCTTCTTTCTCTGTTTTCTGCCTATGTTGATGTCTAACTCGACCAAGTTCTCTGTTGATGAGCTCGATCGAGTTCACATACACCTGCAAAACAGTCAAAAACCCAGCAGTACAAGCAACAAAGGTGGGATAGTACTTGATCGTTCAAGTGATTTGGAAACTCAAATGCAACAGTAACAAACCCAAATGGCAACGGCGCCAAATTGATGATAGGATTTTACGTGGATGAAGTGAATGAAGGATGATATGAAATGAGGTGGAATGCAAACAGGGGTGAATAGAGATGAGATGGTATGGTGCAATCACAATCAATCAATTCCTCTTAACCATCATAGTCATTGAAGTATAAGAGGTTATCAATCCATAAGGGTGAGATGTTGCTCTATGAGAATATGCAAACACAAGAAAGTCAAGCCAAATGATTAAAAGGAGGGATGTAACAACTAAACAACCTAATATAACGGAAATGCAATGCAGAATGTAAAAGAAAGCAGCTAAATGCAAGAAATTAACAAGAACAAGCAGATGCAATGAGCTCGACCAAGAGCTCGATCGAGTTGATGAGCTCGATCGAGTTGAGGGTCGAGTTGAGTTGGTGTAAAAACAGAGGAAATGCAATGAAAAGCGATAAAGGTGCAAACTTTAAGATGCTAATGCGAATATTAGGGTTAAAGACAGGGTTTTGCAGCTAAAGGGAGGCTATACTTAATCAGTCTTGCTCTTAAACAACTTGTATCAAGGTATCTCTTGATATTGAGCTTCTCAATGCCTAGCTAACCCTTTCCCAAGGTGAAAGCTATCAACCAAGACTTGATCTCAGAAACAGGGGGTTAGCCAGTGAGAATCAAGCCTTGGAGGCCATAGGATCATTGCTCAAACTAATCCATCCAACCCCTTAGACCTCCATTTCTAGAGCAAGAGATATTGGAGCTCTTAGTGGACCTTTTCCAACGATTTCCATCACTTCCATGTGGAGAATCGCCTATGGACATACAAGCCAGGGATAGTGGTCATGTAGCCTTAAGGTTTGTCCAAAAGAGAGAGATTTCTAGATTAAGAACATAAGCAAGAAGGATTAAGCATAAACAACCTCTAACCTATCCCATCTTAAGCCCTAAAGGGAACTACTCACTAACATGGTGAAATAAACAACCAAATGCAATGAATGAACATCAAAAGATAGAGGAGATGATATAGAACAACTTTTATTGAAATAAGAAGTGCAGAAATACAATAATAAAGCCTAGATCTAAGGTTCAATGAGCAAGAGCTCAAGAACACAAAGAGAGGCTAAAAAGTAAAAAGGGAAATGCAAATACAAGATTAAATAAAAGTTGAGCAAAAGCTATGTTTAATTCGTGGCTCAATGCCATTTATAGTAAAGCAAACTAGGTTTAGGGTCAAAGGGGAGTCAAAGGGAAGCAACATTTTTCGGGTTTGACTTTGACTCCTGGAAAAGCAGCTCGATCGAGTTGGAAACTGGCCGGTCGAGCTGGTGGGTCGAGTCCAACCAATATCGTCGTATCTTCTGAACCGCTGGTCCGAATGACATGAAACCACCTCCAGACGAAAGCTAACTCAATTATCCACAACTTCCAAGAAGAAGTCAGACACTGAATCGTAGTGGAAACCCTTCATTTGATACGATACTTCGGACGCATCTCACTAGCTCGACCGAGTGCGGGTCCGTACATGGGGCAGACAGAGTCTTTCCTTCCTCAACTAGTCTCCAGTGATAGGCAATGTTCCAATTAGCTCCAAATGACCTGATTAAGACATCAAACGTGCACATGTATGCAAATGCAAGCCTAAAACTACTATGTATGCAAAAGAAGGGAAAACATCAAGAAATGATGCTTTGGGTGAATGAAACTATGCAAAAGATGCATAAAAGAAGGGCTAAAACCATGTAAAATGCAAGTACATCAGAATGGAAACCCTTTGGGTAATGGACTCGGTCGAGCTAGGCAAACTCGACCGATTGGTCAAGGAGATGCTCCAAACCGCCACCAACAGAGACAAGGGATTGTTCCACCACCAGTGCAGAACCACAACTTTGAGATCAAGCTGGGAATGATCAACCTTGTCCAGAACAAGATGTTCCATGGATTGCCAAGTGAAGACCCCATTGACCACCTTGATGAGTTTGATAGGCTTTGTGATTTGACAAAGATCAATGGTGTCTCTGAAGATGCCATCAAGCTGAGACTCTTTCCTATGTCTCTAGCTGACAAAGCTCACCAATGGGAGAAGAGCTTGCCCCATGGCACAATCACCACTTGGGATGAATGCAAGAAGGCCTTTCTTGCTAAGTTTTTCTCCACCGGTCGCACAGCCAAGCTTAGAGGAGAGATATCCAGCTTCATCCAGCGAAACAATGAGACATTCGCAGAGGCTTGGGAGAGGTTCAAAGGCTACACAAGTCAGTGCCCACACCATGGATTCAACAATGAATCACTACTCTCCACTCTTTATAGAGGATGCTTGCCTAGGTATAGGGAGATGCTAGACACAGCTAGCAATGGGAACTTCCTCAACCAGGATGTAGATGATGGCTGGCAACTTGTGGAGAACATAGCTAACTCAAATGGAAGCTATGGAGAAGAGTATGATCGCACCAATCGGAGCTCGACCCACCACTCGATCGAGTCAGACGAAAAGTTGAGAAAAGATGTTAAGGCATTGAATGAGAAGTTGGATAAGCTGATCCTAGCTCAGTCCACAATGAAGAAAGTCAACTTTGTGTCTGCTGAGGAGATGGAACCAGTCCAAGAAGGGGAGGATACACAATTTGCTGAGGTGTGCTACATGAGCAATGGGCAAGGAGGTTACAACAAAGGATACTATAATTACAAGTCCAACCCTGCCATGTCATACCGCAACACTGATGTTGCTAACCCTCAGGACCAAGTATATCCTCAACAACAAGCAGCTCGATCGAGTCAGGTGCCACAACATGGGTATGGTCAAAAGAACAATTACCAAGGACCACAAGGCACTTTCCCTGGACAACAAATGAATATCCCACCAGGCTTCCCCCACCAACCGCCCCAGCCTGCACCTTCACAAGAGAATGAGCTCAAGGCAATGCTAAAGCAACTACTTCAAGGGCAAGCTGATGGGGTAGTGGACACAAGCAAGAAGCTAGCTGAAATAAACTCTAAGATCGAGAACCTCAACACAAGGGTTTACTCTCTGGAGAATCATGCTTCTTCTGTTGCTGCTGCTACAAAGCAAGGACAACTACCTGGTAAAGCTATTCAGAACCCCAAGGAACAGTGCAAGGTCATCTTCACTCAAGAAGGACTTGTTGAAGAAGAGGATCAAGAAAGGGTCATTGAAGATTTTTGTTTACTGCTGAATGATGAAGAGATTGTTGCTGCTGAGGCTCCTGGAGTCCAGATTGATCAACCAGAAGTGCATGCACCTACTGTGGCCATTCACACTTCACCAGTTGAGCTCGCACGACAAGCTCGATCGGCAGCTCGATCGAGTCCAACTCTAGCTCGATCGAGTCCGACCTCTTCTGTCCGACAGCCTGTTTTGCTTGATCCTTACCAACCGGTTGCCGCTTCCTCGTCTCGCCTACTTAGTCAAGGTCACAAGGAAGTGATTCACAAGTTCAGAAGAGATCTCAGTGGGATTGGAATTGAGTTGCCTCTATGGATAGCATGAGTGAGGCATTTGATCAAATGCAAATGGTCAAGGATGTTCTAGCCAACAGTGATAAAGTTTCAGAGGTCCTACAAGAGTCTACTCATCAGTTCAACCTGCTTACTTCACCCACCTTCCTACCAAAGGTCAAGGATCAAGGGAAATTCACTCTCCCTTGCACACTTGGGCATCTTGAGATTGACAATGCCTTAGTGGATTCTGGAGCAAGCATCAATCTGATCTCTCTCTCCATGGCAGAGAAGCTAGGCATTGCTGGAGCCTTGCAGCGCCCTACTACTTCAATCATGTTTGGAGATGCAACTTCTAAGTCTCCTCTTGGAGTGTTCAAGAACTATCACTTGAAAATTGGAGAATGCATCATCCAAACTGATCTCACTGTGATGGAAATGGAAGAAGAGAAGGATTTGCCTCTGTTATTGGGAACCCCTTTCCTTAGTACAGTTGGCGCTTCAATAGACTTTCACAAGCAAGAAGTGATCCTTCACAAGGTGAATAGTTTGGTGTCATATCGCTTGCAGCCTAGAGGTTCAGACTTTTGTGCCACAATTGACAGTACCACTCTCAGTTCTAAGAGTCATGGAGCTACAAAGGTTGTGAAGGAAAGGGTTGACAAGGAACCAAGAGTTGGGAAGGATAAGGATGAGAGAGGACCAAGGATTGAGAAGCCACGTCTTGAGAGGGCTAGAGTTGAGAAACCACGATCTGATAGGCCAAGAGCTGAGAGACTTGTTCAAGCCCCTTGTGTGCTTGATGAAGAGAGCCTTCAAGCTTTGTTTGATGAGCCACTAGGAAGGGCTCTAAAAGAAGGGGAGGATGTAGCCTCTAAGGCAAGACCAGGGATAAAAGAAAGGATCCACCAGCTCAGGCCCCTTCAGTCAAGCCATCTCAGCTCACAATGACCTTGTTCCCCACCAAGTTTGAAAATGGGAAGATTGAGTACAAGATAAGGTACAAGGGGAGATCAAGGCCATTCTCTAGAGCCAAGGCCTTGGTGACTTCAGAACAGTCCAGGGACCCAACCAAGCTAAAGGAGCTTCTGTCTCAAGTCCTCACTATCACCCTTGATGGTGGGACTAGCTCAACCAATGCCTAAAAGGTAAAGGTCAAGCTATGGGACCTTAAACAAGCTCACTTGGGAGGAAGTCCCATGTTTATCCTTGTACATACTCTATTTATGCAATTTCTATCTATCTTTATGTTTTTAACCTTTGAATAAGTTAAGTTTAGGTGTCAAAGGAGCCAGCTCGACCGATAGCTCGATCGAGCTAGAAACCAGGGCAACTCGATCGAGCTACACAACTCGACCGAGGTAAGTTTTTGAATTTCAAATTCATAACCGTTTTCTTGGTCAAGGGAGTGGGTCCCACAAGCTGATTTTGGTCCCCCACTATGATGGCGGGTTTAGATTGCCTCAAATTTTCACAATTTATAAACCCAACTAATGAGCTGCAAGTGCACAGCCGTGTTGTAGTCGGGGTCGAACACGAGGAGGAAGTGTTCTCACTTAACACCTTGTGAGATTGGTCTTAAGCTAGCTCGCAATATGAGGTGGTTTTGGGACCTAAGATGAGAAAACAAAGTAAAAGCAATGTGAGTGAGTTTGTAAACAATTTAAAACAAGAGTTAGGCAAAGGACAATCATATGGAGCAATGATGAAAAGATAGTTGCATGGGATGTGTGTAGAGCCGTCTTGAACATGAATCACTAGTGTATGGTCTTTCCACTGTCGTGGCTCCAACCACTATGTTTGAAACAACCTAATATACTCAGCTTTCGTTGGCTATTAGAATTGCAAACATGCATTACAAGGTTCAAGATTCAATTGTTCACAATAAACCATAACTCAGCTTTCGTTGGCTATGATCTATTGCTCACCAAATACTAGTTTTGAGATCTAGATTCAGCACTGTCGTGGTTCTATTTCTCTAAGATCAGATTACTAGATGTACGGTAGAGTAATCATGCATTAAGCTCAAGTAAAGGTGAAGATCCATAAGATAAATCCCAATTAGTTGCAACACAATCAAATCATCACGGCCACCATAGATCTCCTCGGCCTAACTAAGAGATCTTCTCGGCCATGATGCAAACAAGCAAGCAAAGCATGATTGTAAACATTATGCAAGTATTAAAAGAGATAAAGGGATGAAGAAAGCTTCTCTATTGATGAAACAAAGTCGGATTCTCCCTTGAAAACTCTTAAGATCAAGTTTATAGAAATGGAAACAATGAAAAAGAAAGAACAAGAGTTGAGCGGCGCCTCCTTCTTCTTGGACATCTCCTAGGGCTTCTCTTCTCTTCTCTCTCTTCTCACACGTGAACTCTTTGATAATTTTCGGACTGGACTCGATCGGATTCTCTTCTTCAGCGGCTAAAAACATGTATAGTCAGGTGCTATCGGATTCTCTTCTTCAACTCGATCGGATTCGCTTACCGGACATGTCTCGGTAGAAAATAAGTTCCGGCCTCATAGTTGATCCAAATGGCTTTTCCACTTCGACGTGATGCATGACTCAAGTATCTATCTTTCCATATCAAGATCGTAACTTTTGGACGTCGGGAACTCCTCCGCGCGCGGCCAAACTTCCGAAGCTTCGTTCTGCGCGCAGCGAGAACTAACACTTGGAGATAAAATGGTCTTCTTGACTTGGAAACTTGCATGGATCTTGATTTAGGGCTCTTTTGCTCCTTTTTGCATCCTTTTTGATTTTTCACCTACAAAGACTTCAAATCCCACAAATACAAGAAAACTACCTCTAAAGGCAAAGAATCTTGCAAAAACCGTTTGAAAACATAGTAAATTATATAGTAAAACATGAAAATATGGTATATCAACTCCCCCAGACTTAGCCTTTTGCTTGTCCCCAAGCAAACTAAGAGAGGAAAAGAGGTTTGAAAACGTGAGAACTCTCAAATCTTTTGGAAATCCGGGTTGACTTATGCTTTAGTAATCCACATGAAACAGCATTGGCAAATTTTGAATTAAGAACAAAGTACATACCATGAGTTTTGCGATTTTTCCCAAAGCGGTCCACCTCTCCTTGGACAATCCAATTCGCCACCCTTGACTCCTTTCATTTCTAAAGGTGTGGTCTCAACTAGGGAGTATCGATCAGCCGGCTTTAGACTCTTACTCATCCCCTTGTTTTGGCACTTGTCTTTTTACTCCATGTTTCTCCTCTCTCTCTTCTCACTTCTTTGAGTTGATTCATCCCTTTTTTAGGGTAGCGAAGTATTTTTTTATTCAACTCCTTCTCTTTATTATAGAGGTTTTGCTTGGATCTTCCACAGACGCGAGTATTGATGGTGTTTGCCACCGAATCCCCGGTTGCTTGGATTCATAGGCCTTCCATAGACGCGAGTATTGATGGTGTTTGCCACCGAATCCCCGGTTACTTGGACCTTACGCTTTTTCTTTAAATTTGAAGGGGAGAGAGAGGGAAGCACGAACTCACTAAGACTTTTTCATTTGATGGAGAGGATGAGGAATCATGCCATTTGTATGCCAAGCCCCTAGCTGAGAAGATTAAGTTCATTAAGGGCGGAGTCAAAGATGGATCCTTCTCAAGTCTTTAGAGATGTGGGCGTTTTTGGTAGATCGATCAACTCATAGTGCACCTGTGGTAAGATGTATTGCCAAGAACTGCTCAATGGTCACTTAAACATTAGTACAACATGGTTAGATCCAAGATAAGGTCATAATTCTCGACAAAATTTTGACTCAATAAAAACGACTCGATAAAAGGGAAAAATGCAAATGAAAATGCCAAAATGAACAAACATTGTTAGTAATCCCCCCAGACTTAACTTGCACCGTCCCGGTGAAAAAATCGGATTAAGAGAGGCATAACATGAAGTTCAAATGAAAAATTGAAAAGAAAAAGGTTTAGGATGATGTTACCAAATGTCGACCAATTTATAATGAAGATCAGTTCTGGTTTGGGTCATTCTACACTTCTTTAGGCAATATTGGTCGGTGAGTTTTTAATTTCAGGCCTTGGTTTCCGCCGGTTTGTGTTTTGGCCGAGATTGGTATATTCGGTCGGCCAAAATGTGGTGCTGTGAACTACAGAACAAACCGTCAAAAATTTCATGACCTATATTGAAATTTCATCGACCAACCTGGTATTTTAGAGCCTCTGGTGAAGTTTGGGAGCATTTACGAGCGGATTGAGACTTCCTTCACAAAATGGTCAAGTCGGCTCCGGGAAGGAGTTTCCTTGGCCATGTGAAGTTTGGCTCGTTCCTTTTCGTTTCTTCCTGCATAAAAGTGTTAGTTAAGCTCAAAGAAGAGTTTTCCAACCGGTTGGCGCGCCTATGCCGTGATTTGGTTTTGTCGGCCATATTGCTTGCGCGCCATCGGCCAGAATGAGCTCCGTCGTCTATCTCATGATCCGTGATGATTTCTCCGTCCTATCTTTTGGATTTGCCGACCAAAATGTGATTTTATGGTCGCCTGTGAAGTTTGGTGGACTTTGGTCACGCCGTTTAGGAGTTGGCCGTAGTTGGCTCCTTGTGCGCGGTATGGCCGAGAGAAATGTCCTGGATTGAATTTCTTCAAATCCACTCGGGCCAATTGAGATTTTCTTCGATCGAATTGTTTTAATAACCCTCCTGTGTCATTCCCAAGTGGTGGCCGCCTTGTTTCGTGTGATGGCCTATGTATCTCCTTTTAACCTCCCTTTGGCCGCCATATGCATGTTGGTTTTGAGGTGGTTATAGGTTTGCTCTATTTCTCCTTCCTGTCAAATGGTTAACTCCTTGCAAAACACTTGAAATCATGATTAGATGGTTTCTCAGATTGTGATCCTCAAGTGACCAACTTGAAGTTCACAATCCAAGAGATTAAAGCACAAACTATAAATTCTTATTTGGTCTTGGTTAATGATCCAAATTTCAAACTATAGTTCAATCTCTTGTAATTTCAGTGAGAAAATGAGTTTTGACAAGTGATTATGTATTCTTTCCAATCATCAAAAGTAAATCAAGTTAAACCATGAAATATATTTGATAAAGTGCAATGGTTTAAACGATTTTTCAAGTGAAGATCAAGAGTGATTAGAAATGAATACTAGGTGAGAGTTTACTTACCTTTTGGAAGAGAAACGCCTTGTACAAGGGTGGGCTCATTGGGTGGGACACTTCCATTGTTTGGTCTCCTTTGGGTCTTCATCCTAAGAAAATATTTTTGTATTTTTGTTTGATTTTTGAAAAACTCCTGCAAAATAGAAATAGATAGTTAAAAACCATATGGGTTGCCTCCCATAAAGCGCTTTTGTTTTAAGTCATTTAGCTTGACTCCTTTTCTTTCTTTCAATCGTGGTGAAGAGTGGCTGAAGGGCAAAGGATCCCTTTAGCTTCTCCATTCTCCGGTGTAGTGGATTCTTGTGGTGGTGTTGTCGCGCCATAGTCATCTCTCACATCATCTTTGAAAACCAATGCCTTGGGGAAAAGCTTCATAGTTCTCTCAAGCTTCTCTTCAATGGATTGGTCACCTTTAAGCTCCGAATCTTTTGGTGTAAAGATTCTTATCTTGTGAAAGAGATTAGGTGCACCATTAGTCTCCTCTTCAGCTCCATATTCATCAAAGGTTGGAAGTAAGATGGAGTTGATATCTTAAAGACATTTTCATGCCTCGGCTCCAATGTTTTCTTCTTCTCCTTTGGTTTTGGGTAGCGCTCACTCTCTCTTCTTTCTCCATGCATCACGGCTTCTTTCTTAGGCGTGAGAGTGGCTTCTTCTGGTGGTAGCTTGGTCGCACTTGGCACTGACCTGAAATTTACACTTGGGAAAAAGATATCTTGCCGGATGTGGCCAAAAGATAGATGATTCCCAAAGTAGTTTAGGACCGCTCCAGCTGTAGCAAGGAATGGGGTTCCAAGAATCAGTTGATTCCTCTTTGAGCCTTCCCAAATCATGACTTGAAAGTCAGTTGGGACCGATCGACCCCCTATTTCCATCATGACATCTTCAAGCATTCCATAGGTTCCATGCACGATAGATCCGCGAACTCGACTCTTATCTTGGGGCTCTTGAATTCCTTGAATCCCAAATCTTTTGCAAGTGCAAGAGACATTAGATTAACATTAGCACCAGTATCACATAGGCAATCGTGGAGTTGAATGCCATTGATACTTGAAGTTATCACAAACTTCCCCGGATCTTCTTGTTTTTGTAGTGGCTTGCCTTCAAGTCTTCTCTTGTAAGCTCTTCTTGATTCCCAACTGTATCTCTCCGGTTTGTGCCTCTCCTTAGGCTCATTTTCTTCTTCTTCCCCTTGAGATAGTGTAGGAACAATAGTGCCATCTATAGATGAGACAACACTACAAAATTTTTGAGTGTTTACCTCATTTTGTTTCTTGGCCGCCTCGGCTGTTTGAGCGATTTGCACCTCAAGCTTTTGAACGTGAGTAGAGAGAGACCCAAACTTGCTGCTTAGATCACCAAACATGTGATCAAGCTTCTCATATAGGTTCTTGGTGATCAATCTCTGCTCCTCCATGTATTTCTTCAACGCCACGTCAACCTTCTCTCCGGTTTGGGTTGGATTTGTTTCTTGAGAAAAAGTGAATGGTTGCTTCACTTGGTACATCCCTCTTGGATAGACTTGTTGTGGCTTGGATTGGTATTGGCCTCCTTGATACGCTCCTTGATTGGGGTAGACTTGGTCATTTGGATTCTCCACATTGTTGCTCCGGTATGATAGGTTTGGATGCGCGCGAAATGGTGGATTGAATCCTCTATTCCCATAGTTTCCTCCAATGTAGTTGACTTCCTCTAGATTCTCTTCAGCGCCATCTCTCATGAAATCCATAAGAGTGTCTTCATTTGTGGCTAGGGCATCTTCAATGGCGTGAACTCCTTGTCGGCTTTTAAGTAGTTGTGAAACCATGTTCCTTAGCTCCGAGATTTGAGCTGATTCTGATGAGCTCGTGGTCTTCACGCTTCTATTGTAGTCAGGGCATGCATTGGCATCACTAGCAGCGAGATTCTCAATCAAAAGCTTTGCCTCCGGCACCGACTTGGTCATGAAATTACCATTGCTCGCGGTATCGAGAGAAAGCTTGTATTTATGATCAATCCCATTGTAAAAGATGTTCCAAAGGTTACCTTCTGAAAAGCCATGGTTAGGGCAGCTTCTTGTGTACTCCTTGAATCTCTCCAAAGCTTCATAGAATGACTCCATTGAATCTTGCTTGAAACCAGAAATCTTGCTCCTTATAGAGTTGGATCTTTGCTTAGTGTAGAATTGGTTCAAGAAAGCTCCCTTGTATTCATTCCATGTTGTAATGGACTGAGGTGGTAAAGATTTTACCCATCTTAGCGCCTTGTCACTTAGAGAAAAAGTGAATAGCTTGCACTTGAAGTAATCCGGCGATACTCCATTAACACGAGTTGTGCTACATATCTCCTCAAAGGTGTCGACGTGATCAAGAGGATGCTCAGTGGGCAAACCATGGAATTGGTTTTGCTTCACCAAGGCAATGATCTGCGGTTTGATCTCAAAATCGTTCCTTGGAGGTAGAGGCGGTCGGATTGGATTCCGATCCATAAAGAAAGCATCGGACGAATCAAAGTCTCCCATAGTTTGGTGCCTTGGATGCTGCGCGTTTGGCACTCTCCTTGGAGGTGCGTGAGGTTGGTCTTGAGGCATCCCTTGGTTGTCACCGTGACGATGATGTCCATTTGCAAACGCCGGTGGTGGTCGCGGCGGGTTAAGAGGTGGCTGTAGCGGCTCAGCTGCATCGGGCGCGTTCGGATTGGGTGGAGGAACGTCTCTGGCCGGTGCTGGCTGGTCAGCTCTAGCTTCTGCTGGATTAGGAGGATCATTGGCTCTCCTCTCTTGGTCGGGCGGGTTGTGTGGCCTATTTGGCGCGCCTTCTCCGCCTGGATTCATTCTTTCTCTCCTTAGTCGCCTAAGTGTGCGCTCAAGTTGGTCAATGTCAAGATCTTCTTCAATGGTTGTATTTGGATTGGACCTTCTTGTCATGCACCTTAGAAACACACAAAGAGAGAGAGTTAAGTAAAATTTTTATGGTTTTTAAGATTTTATGAAAAACAAAAACAAAGAAAAGTGAAAGATGAGATGAGCTAGTCTTGAAATCAATCAAGAGGTGTGAAGGAAAAGCAACTCCTCCCCGGCAACGGCGCCAGAAAGCTTGATGGCGGGTTTAGATTGCCTCAAATTTTCACAATTTATAAACCCAACTAATGAGCTGCAAGTGCACAGCCGTGTTGTAGTCGGGGTCGAACACGAGGAGGAAGTGTTCTCACTTAACACCTTGTGAGATTGGTTTGTAGCTAGCTCGCAATATGAGGTGGTTTTGGACCTAGAATGAGAAAACAAACAAAAGAAATGTGAGTGAGTTTGTAAACAATTTAAAACAAGAGTTAGGCAAAGGACAATCATATGGAGCAATGATGAAAAGATAGTTGCATGGGATGTGTGTAGAGCCGTCTTGAACATGAATCACTAGTGTATGGTCTTTCCACTGTCGTGGCTCCAACCACTATGTTTAAAACAACCTAATATACTCAGCTTTCGTTGGCTATTAGAATTGCAAACATGCATTACAAGGTTCAAGATTCAATTGTTCACAATAAACCATAACTCAGCTTTCGTTGGCTATGATCTATTGCTCACCAAATACTAGTTTTGAGATCTAGATTCAGCACTGTCGTGGTTCTATTTCTCTAAGATCAGATTACTAGATGTACGGTAGAGTAATCATGCATTAAGCTCAAGTAAAGGTGAAGATCCATAAGATAAATCCCAATAAGTTGCAACACAATCAAATCATCACGGCCACCATAGATCTCCTCGGCCTAACTAAGAGATCTACTCGGCCATGATGCAAACAAGCAAGCAAAGCATGATTGTAAACATTATGCAAGTATTAAAAGAGATAAAGGGATGAAGAAAGCTTCTCTATTGATGAACAAAGTCGGATTCTCCCTTGAAAACTCTTAAGATCAAGTTTATAGAAATGGAAACAATGAAAAAGAAAGAACAAGAGTTGAGCGGCGCCTCCTTCTTCTTGGACGATCTCCTAGGGCTTCTCTCTCTTCTCTCTCTTCTCACACGTAACTCTTTGATAATTTTCGGACTGGACTCGATCTCTCTTCTTCAGCGGCTAAAAACATGTATATATGGGCGAAGTCGCGTAGGGTTTTCTTCATGCCGGAAAAGGAAAGTTTCCCGCGAGCAAAGCCTTCTTCTCCACGTCGTGTATGGGCCGACATTGTACCAAGGAAAGCTCCAAACATTAGCCAGGCCTCTTCTCTATTCGATCAAGGCCTTTGGCGCTGCTGCTCGGGCCATTAGACACTCCAAATCCTCCATGGGCTTCGTTTACTCGCTTACCGGACATGTCTCGGTAGAAAATAAGTCTAGGCCTCATAGTTGATCCAAATGGCTTCATTCCACTTCGACGTGATGCATGACTCAAGTATCTATCTTTCCATATCAAGATCGTAACTTTTGGACGTCGGGAACTCCTCCGCGCGCGGCCAAACTTCCGAAGCTTCGTTCTGCGCGCAGCGAGAACTAACACTTGGAGATAAAATGATCTTCTTGACTTGGAAACTTGCATGGATCTTGATTTAGGGCTCTTTTACTCCTTTTTGCATCCTTTTTGATTATTTCACCTACAAAGACTTCAAATCCCACAAATACAAGAAAACTACCTCTAAAGGCAAAGAATCTTGCAAAAACCGTTTGAAAACATAGGTAAATATATAGTAAAATCATGTAAAATATGGTGATATCACACTACCCTAATTTGATCAGAGAGTCCCTAGCTTCTTGTTCCCTCTTTATTTCATCTTTTAATCTCAACCACACATCTCAAACACCCCTCTTCCCCATAACTCGATCGAATCCACCTTCTCCACTCTCCCACATCTTAAAACTCTGAAAATCATCTCTCTCTCATCACCACAAGAAAAAATAAATCGATTTCTCTCTTTTTCTCCTAAGTTTTTGCGATTTCTCTTTGACCTTTGTTCTCAATTCGCTTTAGTTCTTGTTTCTGTGATTCTTCCATCATCCAAGCAAGGTATGAACCCTAAAACCCTTTATTCATCCATCTCGATTTCAACTATTGCTTGTTTTCTCTTTGATTGTTGATTGCATTCCCTTGTGGACTTGTTCTTGATTAATTGCCCTCATATTTCACCTCTGCTATATAATCTTGTTAGTTTGTTTCACCTCACCTCTGTTTTGCCTTTAAACTTGTTGCATGTGCTTGAAAGATTGAATTTGAGTTAGGTAATGGTTGGGTTGCTATGATTTTCACTAGAATTGCTCATTGTTCCATTCACTAGTTGCTCTTGGTTCAATTTGATTGATTAGCATCCTTTCCACCTCTTAATACTTGAATTAGGTTTGGTTACACTCTGTTTTCACCCAACTCGATCGAGTTTGTCACTCGAGTTTTTTGACTCGATCGAGCTAAGTGTCGAGCTGACCAAACCGATCATTACAACTCTAATTCTTTGAAATCTTTGATACATTTCAGGTACTTTAGTGAAGCAACAGTGTAACAGAGATGGCAAACAGTGAGGGAAGTCGTGCTTCGCAAGGGAGGATGGTTGAGGGTGAATCAAGCAATGCAAAGGAAAGAAGGCTTAAGATGCAAGCCGATTTGAAGAGGATGAATCAGAGGATGGAAGGATCTGATGCAGAGGGATATGTATACTCTGAGGAGTAGGCCACTCCTCACCACTCAAAGGAGGCTCTCCACGCAAGAACCTCACAGGCCTCTTCTTTCGAGCCAAGGGAAGGAGAAGACAACACGCAGAGAAGGAGGAAGACGTCCAAGGCCAGACGCTCCAGCTCGACCACCGGACTCGATCGAGTCCAAACAGAGGAAACTCAACTCGATCGAGCTGAGGTCGAGTGACCTGGAGGAGCCCCTGTTTGAGAACCCTGGATTCGAGTACGATCCAACGCAGTACCAGGACTTCTCCCAGACCAACTGGACCCCTACAACAGCTTCGAGCAAGCACAGCTCCACCAAGGCCAAGGGAGCCACACACTTTCAAGATGAAGAAGAGGAGGAAGAGGAGCCACAAGCTCGATCGAGTGAGCCGCAAGAGGCAACCCCAGTTGCATGGAGTGCTCCTGATGGCCGTCTACCATCTCCAGACCACGACCTAGCTCCCAGTTCTTTGGGGGGCACTGAGGTATCCAAACACCAACCCTTGTATATACCATTTCATATTTTCTTGCATTTGTTCTTGTTTTTTCTTGGTTTTGCCCTCTTGAATCTTTCACTAAATTTTTCTCACACAAGGGACTGTGTGATTTAAGTTTGGGGGAGGGTTCAAGAGATGATTTAACCTTGTTTTCTTTGTTCTTAGTTTTTCATTTATCTTTTGCATAGAAAAACCAAAAAAATCATAAAATTTTCAAAAAATCCAAAAATATTTTCATCTTTTTGCATTCATATTTGTTAGACTTGTTTAGGATTGCATTTTTCACTTGCATTGTTGATTTGACTTTGAAAACTTGTCCATCTTTTGCGATTTCTTGAGTGCCCTGTTTTTAGATTCTTTTGTGCATTAGGGTGAGATTGATTGAGCAGCAAGAACCATGTTTATCTTGATCATATCACTGCATGCACATCTCATTCAACCATTGCTGTGATTTGATGCATTTCCCTATCTATTTGAACCATAACTTGATCTTTAATTACCAATGCTTGCATTTGATTTCAACTCATGGCTACCACATACATATCTGGACATTCTTTACCTATTTTCATATCCCTTTGCTTGTCCAGATAGCTGATCTCTATCTTTGAGACAGTTACCACACCTTAAACCTAAGCCTTTTCATTTCAAACCCCATATTATCTCTTGTGCGAATGTGAGAACCTTTCTTGGCTTTGCTTAGCATAAGGTGTTGTGTTTAAACCGGCAGGGGCAGTAGTTCTAGTTGTCTAGTTCTCTTGGGATTGTTTTCAGGCTAAGTTTGGGGGTGCCAACTCGAGCTCGATCGAGTTGGGTGTAAAAACCAGAAAAGTGGTAAAAGTTGGGAAAAACCCAAAGGAAAAAGAGTTTAGTTAAGTCCAGGGAGTTGGCAGTGTTAAAAAGGGTCTAGTAAAGGTTTGGGAAGTTAAAAAAGGAAGTAAAAAGGGTTCTAAGTAGAATGAAAAGAAGGCAAAGCCTCAAGTGTCAAAAAGGAAAGAAAAGTTCCCTAAGTGTTTAGAAAATCCCAAACCGCTAGATGTTACCTCAAGAAGCCTCTCCCTAGGAAGTTCTTAAAAGAAAAGTGAGCAAAGCTCCTCAGTTTCAAAGGCGAAATGCCAAAAAGGGTAGTTAGGATTTTGTTCTAAAAAGCTCTAAGTGTTGAACTCGATCGAGTTAGGATTAGGCGGCTCGAGCTGCTGTTCTTGCATCATCTTTGGTTCTAACACTTAGCCTTCTGCCAAAGCAAAGCCACTTTCTTGAGAGATCCCTGTTACTAAACCACCATACAAAAGAGACCCTCTTTGTCTCTTAACCCATAAACCCTTGAAACCAAATGAGTTGATTGATCTTGCATGTTTTTGGTTCACTGTTTTTGCTTAATGAATGTTAAAGGGATTTGCTGATTTGAATGCATTGTTTGAGTGACTGTGAAGTGGGATTGATGTTGATAAGCATGGTTAAATCTTAATGAATATCTCTCACCTTGTTGCATTCTAGAATCTCTAAGTTGGACATTTAGCAAATCGCTTTTGAGGACATGTTTTTAAGTGTTGAATCAGCTTTTTTCAAACCTCATCTCTTTCTTGTTCTATTTGTTTGCTTGAGGGCAAGCAAAGTTCAAGTTTGGGGGTGTTGATGTACTTGCATTTTACATAGTTTTAGCACATCTTTTATGCATCTTTTGCATAGTTTTAGCTTCCATTTGCATCATATCTTGTTCCTTTTCTCTTCTTATGCATTCATGTTAGTTTTAGGTTGCATTTGCATACATATGCATGTTTGGTCCTTTGAAATAGGTCTTTTGGAGCATTCTGGAGCATATGGGACATGAGGAGCATGGAGGGACTTGGCACATGGAAGCAGCTCAACTGGATACGCAAAGGAAGAAGGGAGAAGCCATCTTGAAGACCAGCTCGACCGTCCACTCGACCAACCGGTCGAGTTCCTCAACTCGACCGGCCAAGCTTCAACTCGATCGAGCTGAGAAGTCAAAGTCAAACCCGAAAAATGTTGCTTCCCCCTTGACTTTCCTTTGACCCTAAACCTAATCCTCTTGTATTTAAAGGCTCTAAGCCACGAAAAAACCACCAAGCTTTAGATTATTTTTGTTTTAGTTTCTTTTAATTTATTGTCTTTTACTTTTTAGAGATCTAATCCCATCTTTGTGTTCTTGAAGCTCTTGCTTCTTGAATCCTAGATCCTGGATAATCTCTTTGTATTTGCACTTGCTTATTTCAATAAAAGTTGTTTAATTTCATCTCCTCTTTCTTATGATGTCTCTTTTATTGCATTTGCTTGTGTTTACATTCATGTGTAGTGAGTAGTTACCCATTAGGGTTTGAGATGGGATAGATTAGAGGTTTCATATGCTTAATCCTTCTAGCTTATGGTCTTAATCTAGATTCTCTCTCTTTTGGATAGATCTTAAGGCTACATGACCACTACCCCTGGCTTGTAAGTCCTTAGGCGATTCCCCACACGAAAGTGATGGCATTCGCTGGAAAAGATCCACTAAGAGCTCCAATATCTCTTGCTCTAGAAATAGAGGTCTAAGGGGTTGGATGGATTAGTTTGGGCAATGATCCTATAGCCTCCAAGGTTTGATTCTCACTGGCTAACCCCCTGTTTCTGAGATCATTCCTTGGTTGATAGCCTCCACCTTGGGAAAGGGTTGGCTAGGCATTGAGAAGCCCAATATCAAGAGAAGCCTTGATACAAGGAGTTTTAAGAGCTAGATTGATTAAGTGTAGATTCCTTTGATTGCAAAACCCTGTCTTGAACCCTAATTCTCTCTTTATCTTGTTAAAGTCGTCACCTTTAGCTTTGTTTGTCTCAACTCGTCCCTAAACTCGATCGAGCTGGTACTTTGCTCTGACTCGACTCGAGTCTTGGTCGAGCTGACACTTCACTGCTTTGTTTACTTTTATTGCACTGCTTTTCATTTTTTTAGGTTGTTAGTGTTACTTCAAATCTTTACTGCTTGCTTGACTTTCTGGTTGTTTCATATTCTCAAGAGTGACAAGTTTCCCATTTTGGATTGATAACCTCTTATACTTCAATGACTATGATGGTTAAGAGGAATTGATTGATTGTGATTGCACCATACCATTCATCTTTATTCACCCCTGTTTGCATTCCACCTCATATCTCATTTCATTCATATCATATCACATCCACAAAATCCTATCATCAAGTCCGAACGGTCCGATCGACCCAAAGCCCGTTTCACACGTTTTCACAGCCCGGCTAGACCTAATGCCGCCTCTAAAGCCCTAGCATTATAAATACAACTTTTTAGCCTCTTGAAAAGAGAGCCGCCCTTGTATCACGATTTTCATACTTTGAGTTTATTGCAATCATGTTTTCTTCATCTTTATGTGTTATTGCTTTGATCATGTCTGAGTAATCCACTAGTTAGGTTGCTAGGGTTACTAATCAATGAGTTGCTTGCATGATCTTTGATTTCGATGTTTAGCTAGGGATTATCATAGAGTCTTTGTCTCGTCTTGTGCACTTAACTAATGCTGATTGCTTTACCGCGCATCTAGTAATCCGATCTTAGGTTGATTTGAGCCTCGAAAGTGTTGTATCATTCGCCGGACATATTCTTTGACAAGCTAGGTTTCTTAGACTGCGAAAGTTGATCTACTATAATCTAGTGAACTGTATCAGAACCTATTCATTCTAAAGCTTGATTTAATCACCTAGGGACATACCAAAAGTTTAGCGACTAGGTAGATTAACAAAGGAGCCGGAGCCTCGAAAGTGGAATGGTTTTATATTCGTGATCTGTGTTCTAGACGGTTCTTAATATCCCAATATCCCTAATCAATTCATCTATCATTGTTTCATTGATCATTGCTTGCTTCTCTGCGATTAGCCCCTGTTGACCTAGCGCTTCTTCCTTATTGATTTACAACCTCGTTATTTGCTAGTTCTGTTCACCATTACAACCTCAATCATACTTTTGTTTTAGCTTGATCCAAAATCCATAGTTTCAAAGTGTACTCAATAGCCAGTCCTTGTGTTCGATACCCATACTTCCGCGATCTGTGCACTTGCAGAGGTCTAAGAGTTTGGTAAAACCTGACTCAACATCAGGAGTCCATTGTTTTGGAACACCGGAGGCGATTGTGGTTGGTTAGGAGGCGGCTGCGGCTGCTCGGCTACACCGGGAGCGTTCGGATCGGGTTGAGGCACTGCTCCGGCTGGTGCTGGCTGATCAGCTCCAACTTCTGGTTGTATAGGAGGGTCATTGGCTCTCCTCTCTTGGTCAGGCGGCTGCTGCTGCCTATTTGGTATGGCTTCTCCGCCTTGATTCATTCTTTCTCTACTTAGTCGCCTAAGTGTCCTTTCAAGTTGGTCAATGTCACGATCTTCTTCAATTGAGTTGTTTGGATTGGACCTTCTTGTCATGCACCTAAGAGACACACAAAGAGAGAGTTAAGTAAAATTTTATGAGTTTTTAAGATTTTATGAAAAACAAAAACAAAGAAAGTAAAAGATGAGATGAGCTAGTCTTCAAATGCATCAAGAGGTGTGAAGCAAAAGCAATTCCTCCCCGGCAACGGCGCCAGAAAGCTTGATGCGGGTTTATATTGCTTCAAGTTTTCCCAATTTTTAAACCCAACTAGTTGAGCTGCAAGTGCACAGCCGTATTGTAGTCGGGGTCGAACACAAGGAGGAAGTGTTCTCGCTTAACACCTTATGAGATCGATTTGTAACTAGCTCGTGATATTGGATGAGATTGGACCTAGAATAATAAAATAAAACAAAAGGAAATGTGAGTGAAGTTGTAAACAATTTAAAACAAGAGTTAGGCAAAGGATAATCATATGGAGCAATGATGAAAAGATAGTTGCATGGGATGTGTGTAAAACCGTCTTGAACATGAATCACTAGTGTATGGTCTTTCCACTGTCGTGGCTCCAACCACTATGTTTCAAAACAACCTAATATACTCAGCTTTCGTTGGCTATTAGTATTGCAAACATGCATTAAAGATGATCAAGATTCAATTGTTCACAATGAATCCATAACTCAACTTTCGTTGGCTATGACTCATTGCTCACCAAATACTAGTTTCGAGATCTAGATTCAGCACTGTCGTGGTTCTGTTTCTCTAAGATCAGATTACTAGATGTACGGTAAAGTAATCATGCATTAAGTTCAAGTAAAGGTGAAGATCCATAAGATAAATCCCAATAAGTTGCAACACAATCAAATCATCACGGCCACCATAGATCTCCTCGGCCTAACTAAGAGATCTACTCGGCCATGATGCAAACAAGCAAGCAAAGCATGATTGAAAGCATTATGCAAGTATTAAAAGAGATAAAGGGATGAAGAAAGCTTCTCTATTGATGAACAAAGTCGGATTCTCCTCTTAAAATCAAGTACAAGAAATGGAAATAATGAAAAAGAAAGAACAAGAGTTGAGCGGCGCCTCCTTCTTCTTGGACGATCTCCTAGGGCTTCTCTCTTGACCTCTCTTCTCTTGACTCTCCAAGAACTTCGACTCTCTTCTTCAGCGGCTAAAAACATGTATATATGGGCGAAGTCGCGTAGGGTTTTCTTCATGCCGGAAAAGGAAAGTTTCCCATGAGCGAGCCTTCTTCTCCACGTCGTGTATGGGCCGACATTGTACCAAGGAAAGCTCCAAACATTAGCCAGGCCTCTTCTCTTTCGATCAAGGCCTTTGGCGCTGCTGCTCGGGCCATTAGACACTCCAAATCCTCCATGGGCTCCGTTTGCTCGCTAACCGGACATGTCTCGGTAGAAAATAAGTTCGGCCCGATGGTTGATCCAAATGGCTTCATTCCACTTTGACGTGATGCATGACTCAAGTATCTATCTTTCCATATCAAAATTCGTGAAGCTTTGTTTTGCTCGGTAGCGAGAACTAACACTTGGAGATAAAATGATGTTCTTGACTTGGAAACTTGCATGGAACTTGGTTTGAGACTTTTTTACTCCTTTTTGCATCTTTTTTGATGGTTTCACCTACAAAAACTTCAAATCCCACAAATACAAGAAAACTACCTCTAAAGGCAAAGAATATTGTAAAAACCGTTTGAAAACATAAATAGATATATAGTAAAATCATGTAAAATATAGTGATATCAAGGGTCAATGTAAAAGTTATCATATGTGGAGCCAATGTCGGTAGCTTGAATATATGAAAGCAATTGTAGTACTAACTCAGTTATTAGAACTAGCAGTTTTCCTACTGGGAAACTTCGAAGTCCGAACATGCACCAAGCTCTACAAACTCACCTCCTCGGCTTTGGAGATTAAGTTCATCGACACAACATCCTTCACTCAGCAACATGTTCATTACGTAACTATCCCTAGGAAGATGTTTTAGATAAGATCCCATGATCATCTTCTCGGCCTCGCTGATGCAAACATTTGTCTCCCAGGTCGTACAATCTATATCGTCATAACCTTATAATATCATTTGCTTATGTGATTAGAGCTCCCCTAGGTTTCAAGGATTAGCTGATAGAGCTCTACTACCCACATAAGAGCTCCATGCAACAACTGAAACAAAAACAGAATCTTTGAAGTTAGTCTCTGCTTTTATGATTACTTTTGAAAAATAAATATAAACTCACATGCATCATCGGCTTAGGTCTATTCGCTGTCCACCGTGTAAGCACTATGGCTCTCAAGCGGTCGTGATCGAGTAGTTTGGACCCATAAGACCAAGATCGATCACCAATAATGCATACCCCATGTTTCTTATTGCATAAGGAATGAAAAACGGAGATTCTCCTATGGCCTTTCTCTATCAGAGCTTGAACACTGTCTGAAATAAACTCAAGAGAAACTTGGTTAAACCCACTAAAGAGAAATCAAACTCATGTTCAAAATTCAAGTAGAAATTAATCGATCGAAATTCATCAAATTTAACCTCCAAACCCGATTGATTGCAGAGGTCTTAAGCTGAATAATCTTCAAATCAATCAGAACAATTGAAATCGATCAATCTAAGATAGCGAGGAGTGAAAATGTACCGTGTGAAGCTTGTCACCGCGGAGATTTGCAATCTCAAGAGCCTTTTTTCCAGCGACAATGCAATACTTCAAACAATCGTGAAGCCGACACTCATTCTTCCCATCGATGTAACCTTTGGAGCTAAACCCACGGATCTGACCACCGAATCGAGTCGGGAACTTGGAGGCATCGAATCGATCAATCAAGTTGATTCCAATCTCGCCGGAGAAGAAAAGAGTCTATTATATCTGAATTTTTGTTCGATTAAATGAGAAAAGAGGGAAAACTCTGAGAGGAAGAAGCCACATGGCCATCTCTCCCGCGCTGACATGGCGGTCAGGAGAAGGAACAAGCTCAAAGAGAAAGATGTTGTCACTTGCAAAATCTTGCATAAGAACTACCTTGCTCACTCTATCAAAACCCACAGCACCCATGGTTGATGAGTCTCTCATCATCACCATCATCGTCATTGCTTTCAGTCTACCACTATTATTAGACATTATTATGAGTAGTATGACTTTTGTTTGTTTAAGGAATGTTCTAATTTTCTTCTTCTCTGTTTTTATCTTATCTTAGTAGTACTCTCTCTTCATCCCTCAGAAGCCTTATTAACGTATTACTGTTTCTTGTTGCAATTTCAATGGAATTTGCTGTTGTTAAATACACTCCTTTTTACAGTATGTGTTCAACGGTGAGGAGGAAAAAAAACAAATTAAACGGGATAGATCACAGAGCCAATGAAGCAACAGGGTAGTGTAAATCTCTAAATCACTAAACGTTTAGCTGTGTATTTGATTATTACTGTCGTAGGAGACAAAAGAGCATTGATAAACTCTAGATTGATTAAAAAAAAAAATGCTTCACATATCTCACACAAATAACTGATAATACTACAACACTCCAATGTAGATACAAATTCATCAATGACTACATTACATAATGTGTATTATGTAAATTCTATTTCATACTAGTTTTGTACAAGTTTTGTACAAGCTACCGACATTGGCATTGGATTCCCTTCGAGCCAAAACCGAATAGTTTGTCATATTAAAAAGTCCAATATTACCTATTTGGGAACCCCTAGGCAAAATTGAATTACTTCGGACTTGGCACCCCTAGACAAAATTGTATAGATGGTTAAAATATAATTTTCTTGAGTCTTTTCTACATATTAAGATGATGGTTAGAAGGTGGTACGTTTTGTTCCTACGATTAACTCTTTCTGGTTGAAAGATATTTTTCATCAGATCTTTAACATAAAAGAAATGAAGAATGACAGTTCGATTAGTTTAGTGCCTTCAACTAATGTAGTTGGTTAGAAATGTGTGTATGCTCCACTATAATAAACCCATTCTACAACAAAGCAAAATTCTAAAACATAATATACTAAGAATAGATGGTTAGAAAAAAGTGTGGCTGCTCCTCTTTAGTTTAGTATTTCACTTCAACTAACACCGTGCCATAACTTATATATGTATGAAAGATTTAATTAACCGCATGAGGATAAAATAAAGAACTTCACAACTTCTTCAAACGTGAAATGTCATGAAATTAAATATCAACTTCGTATAATCAGTTACATAAATAAATTTTTATAAAGTTGAGTTGTTTTGGATAATGATTAGTTAGAAAATTAGAATAGGTTTAAGAGAACATTTTTTTTTTTTGTACCTCATAATTTTGATGCATAAGATTAACTAAATGGTTAAAGTTCAAGAAAACATTGAAGAGAGGTTGATCTATGAAGAATGTCATTGCGTTTCTTAAGTTGAAAGGTTATACTTATCCTATTCTGGTTCGCGAAAAAAAAAATACTTATCGAACTTTAACTTTTTCTTTTTCTTTTTCTTCAAACAGCATGTGTTAATTTCTAGTTCGGTTCGAAAATCCAAATATCTATATATATATAAATATATTATTAATATATATATTATTATATATATATTTATATATATGTAATAAATTGTAAAAGGGTTCAAATTAAATGATAAACCAAAATATTATATAAAATATAACTTTGGGGTCATATATTATTATATAAAGTTGGATACGCGCGACATGATTGCGACACGTAGGAATTTTATAAAATATAGGATTACGACATATGTTACTTTTAATGTTATATCCGTTAAGATCGTGATACATGTCTTTGAAAAAAAGAAATTTTTATTTTAAAGGGAAAATTTTAATATCTTATAATAAAAACGAAATTTTAAATAATAAAATGAAAATAATGTAATAAAAAAATTCCTATTAGTATATGGAATAGGTATGAAAACTAAAAATATCCTAAAATTGTATAGAATAGGTTATATAAATTCCTATTTAAAAAAATCCTATTAGTATATGTAATAGGTATGTAAACTAAATATCCTAAAACTGTATGAAATTGGTTATATGAACCCCATATAAAAAAGAAAAAATAATTAAAAAATGTTACATCTCATAAGAAAAGGAATAAAAAACATATTCCCATTACGAAAATGAATACTTTTTAGATAGATACATGTGTCTAATATTTGATGAAGTGATGACATATGTCAACACAAGAAAATTGAAAAAATGTAGTAACATAAATAAATAAATTAATAAAATAATATTAAAATAACTAACTAATAATGAAAATGAAAATTTATAATGGTCAGAGGCAAAAACAAAAATTAAAAAAGAAACAATATAAATAGAAAACTAACAAAAAAACTAAATAAGATTAAAAAATAAAATTTTATAATGGACTGATCTTCTAATATTAAATAGTTTATTTTCTATGTTTTGATAGCTAAAAAATATTAAAAATAAAGATTTGAATAATCAAAGTTTCATAAAATAATTAGTCGATTAGATTTAGACACATGTAAATCTTTCTATTTCATATCATGAATTAAAAATAAAAATGTAAAAGACTAGATATCTTTATTTAGAGATTTGTTATCGGGTTTTAATTTTATTTTCTTATTTTTAAAATTGATCAAATTTTGTTTAATATTCTTTCATGATTTAAAAATAAAAATAAAAAATAAACCCGCATATACACGGAGCCTAATCTAGTAGTTCGATAAAGTTGATTAAGAAAATTAGAATTCTACGGCAGAGTAGAAAACTAAAGAGAATAAAAGAAAAACTAGAGATGGCTCTCTAGAGACTCCTAAGATGGTGATCCGCGGCCTCCTCGACCGCCACAACCTCTGTTTCTTCGCCCTCCTGCCATGATCCATTGCATCTCCTGAACTTTTTGTGAAGGTTTTATTTGTCTTTCGCTTTTTGCCCTTTGAGAAGGGTCTCCCACCTCAAAACCTTCGAAAATCCAAATTGATAGTACAAAGTTTACAAATTACAAAAGGATATTTTGGTTTTTTTTTTGTTAAAATGTAAAGATTTTATACCAATTTTTTTCAGTTTTTGACATAAATTATAGTAGTAACGAGAAGGCAGAAAAACCCAAAAACTACAAGAAAATATCTGATTAAAACAGTATAATAGAAAGCCTCGAGCGACAAGCTAAACATACACCAAACCGAGTTGATCCGAGAGTAGAAACACCAATTCCAAACATAGATCCCAAAATTTTGCATTGTTGCCAATGTTTCGTGTAACTTAAGTCTTCATCATAATTGCCACGAGCACTCCCATCATAGGCCAATCCTCAAAACTTCATCAATATAGCACCTATAGCTTCTCCAAAGACTAACAAAAAAATGGAACCCCATCAACACGACAACACCTTTTCAACTTCCGACGACAAGGGAGTTTCGAACTGTCAGAAAAAGGATACTTAACAATTCATGCAATATAAACCAAAGTAAACCATCATTATGAACTAGATTAAGGCCCGCGTATATGCGGGTTTATTTTAATATTTTGTAATAAAAACATGGAAAAATATTTAACAAAATTTGATTATTTTTAAAGTAAGTAGAATAATATTAAAAACCCGATAAAAATATTTAGT